TATGTATATATATATTTATATATACATATTTTTTAAATGTGTAATAAATATATAACTTTGAAACTTTTATCTTAACTAACGTTTTTATATTTGCAAAATGCTTTTAAATAAAATAACAGTTACTGAAAACGTTTTAATTTAAAATATATTCTAACAAAAAATTTTATAATTAATCTTATTTATTTTTTAATTATTTGATTTTTATAAGCGACGACTTAAAATAAGGATTGTCTCTTTAATAAATTTTATTTAAGAGTTATTAAAGTTAATACACTCAAAAAGATTTTGTTGAAATGAAAAAAAAGACAAACTTATGAATTAAAGACAGCCGTTTAAATTAAACTTTGATCTTTACTAATGTTTTTATATTATTAAAACACTTTTAAATAAAGTAACAATTCACTGCTTTATTAAAATGTTAAAACTGTGGTCAAATCATCAAAACAAAATATTATTTGCGTGGCCATATAAAGGCCACGCAAATAATATTTTGTTTATATATATATATATACGTATATATATATATATATATATATATATATATATATATATATATATATATATATATATATATATATATATTTAACATTTGAGGTTAACTTCCAGGCATAGAACTGTTCATAGTGTGTTCTCTCTATGAAATTAATTTAATGTGGCATTCTGCACGGTCATTTACAACTGCAAATGTTCTTACGTATTGAAAGTAAGTAAAAGACTGGGAAACTTCCTCATTTTCACATACTTTGATGCCTTTTTCTTTCCGTAGCAGAATTTCCTTCTTGGAGATCTCCAATAGCAAGAACAAAAGGTAGGGCTGCTTGTTGACAAAGTCTTCTTATTTTGATGTAGGAAGAATTTTAACCTTAGTTTCAGGTCTCTTTTTAATCAGACCTTTTAACTCCGGGAAGAATAAGAATAGAAATAAGAAAAATAAGAAAGAAATAAGAAAGCAGTTTATCATGTTAGTCTTAACTTCGATTTTCAGATCTTTATCAGCAAGAGCATGATAAAAATGACTTGTTGCAGAGATAGATGTATGATGCATAAGACTTTGGTAAAGAACCTTTCCTATTGCTGTAAATTCTTTAAACTCGTTCACTGTTTGTAGCTGAAAAGCAAAATTAAATGCCATTAGATCATTTGAAGGTGCTTGAGACGCATTAGGGCTTTTTAGGAAGAAGAGTCCACAAAAAAATCTGCATTAGGCACATTTATTTGTAGTTGATCGATATTTAGTTGTTTTTAGTTGTTAGTTTTTTACTAGTTGTATACTATATTTAGTTGTATGCTATAACAGGATTATAGTATACAACTAATAATGCAAAAATAGTGAAACTGGTAAATACTATTTATATACAAGTTCAAACCTGTGTTTTAAATGAGTTTCTTGGTTGAAAACAACTTTTAAACTTGATTTCTACTTTAATTATACATTGACTTAAGTTAAATTTATGTATAATTAGTTTTTATTGTTTATAAAACACGCATCATTTATCTTATTATTAACCATGCTTTTGTTATAATGATTTTTATCTGAGTCAAAAAATTGACTCAGATAAAAATCATTTTTAAATCAAAATTTATTTATTAAAATTTATTATGTAAAAATAAATTCACCTAAATAACCTTCCCCTTGAGCTAAAAACTTAATTTTTTTTTGTTTTTCTTTATAAATAAAATTATGCTAAATGTAGTATTCCGCACATTAATATTCGATTTATGATCTATTTTTGGGACACCCTAATATATATATATATATATATATATATATATATATATATATATATATATATATATATATATATATATATTATATATATGTATATATATATATATATATATATATTATATATATATATATATATATATATATATATATATATATATATATATATATATATATATATATATATATATACAGGCCTTGTGATGAATAAAAACTGCGCGACGCATAAGCACGATGTGATTTTTGACATCATTAAATTCTTTTTATTTGCTTTTCATATTTATCGACATTAACTGCACCAATTTACTTAATTACCGCAAAAATACTTTAAATCATTAATGTAGAAATGTTATTATTTAAAAATGTTTTGGAATGTTTTGTTTTTTAAATGTAAAAACATTTGTTTATTTTCTCGACGTTTGCCACGTTTTGTCTATACTAAACGAATAAAAAACATAAGTTTTTCAAATTTTCAATTATTTTTTTCAATTATTTTTTCTTTTTAAAAAATTTCAATTATTTTTTCTTTTTAAAAAATCAGAGAGTAATAAACTAGAAATTTTAATATTGTACGATTAAAAACTGTGCAATAGCTAATATTTTTACTACCGATTTTATATAATATTTTTTTATTTATTTTCATAAAGCGGTTGATAAGCATAATTACTTGTATTATTAAAAAACTTTAACGAATGTTTTGAATAGATTTTTAATATTTACATGGAATTTTATTTTTGGTAAAATAAAATAAAATAAAATGTTAGAATAAAAATCTTTTAGGTATAAAAGAAATATTTCAGCGAAAAAATTATTCTTAAAAATTATTCGAAAAACTATTGACGTTTATTTTTCAGCAGCTGTTCTTGAGCACGCTTCGTTGAGTTTCGATAACAAAAAAGCGATTGTTATTATTTAAGTAATTTTTTTCGAATTACTTTTTACAAAAATTTTAATAACTGTACTTTTTATTGAATCAAGTAGAATAAATATTTTAATATTAATCTTTTTATTTTTTTTTATTTGCGCTTACCAATTTTTAAAATGTTTCCTCTAAATTACTCTTAAATACTCTAAATTCGTCTAACAGTTAATAAATATTTTTAAATCTATGAAATAATTTTAAAACCTAACAAACCCCTGTAAAATGATTATTTAAGTTAAAAATCCAAAACTAAAAGAAAGTATTTTTGTTCACTTTTATCGACAACTTTGCTATTGCTGAATAATGTTAATAAAATGTTAGCTTAAAAAGATTTAAACTTTTTTTTAATCTGAATTTTTTCTACTTGTAAATAATGAGCATATTTATTTTTTTTGTCATTCAAACTTTTATATCAACTGCGTGTGGTTTTTAAAATACTTTATTAAATGTTAAAGTAATCGTAAGTTACTTCATTAAAATTCCGCTCAAAAATATCTTTAAATATACTCAAACAAAAAATTTTTTGTTCAACGCAAATAGCCCTAGCTACACGCAAAATCGCTCTTGGACGACATAAAATTCACATCGCCCGACGCTTTATCACAAGGCCTGATATATATATATATATATAAAATCTGTTTTGTTATAATGCTGGGATAGTTTAAAAAGAAGAAAAATTCCAACAAACTTCTAAATTTCTGCGCCGTCAAAAGCACCCATTGCAACATTAAACAAACCACTTCTTTTTAATCTACAAGTAATCATTATTAAAAGCAAATTTAATCACGTCATTTAAAAGATTTTCATTTATAGAAGGTTAGAAATCAACAACAATGTCAAAAATTAAAAATTTTTTAATGTTAATTTATAATACCTATGAACGAATCTACATTTTTTTGCATGTTTTACCATGCAATATGTAATAATGTTGATTATCAAAAATGATGATATTTTGATAATTAAACAAGCCTAAAAATTGAATGCATTACATCCCATGAAAATTGCAAATAAATAGCCTGTTAAATACAGAAATAAATATAGCCTGTTGTATATAGTGCTATGTTAATAATGAAGTTTTTCTGTTAATTCTGCTAATAACTTTAATCATGAAGTTTTTAGCAGAATTGAATTTAATACGTCATTTATATTTACAGTATCCAATTTTTTGTGAAAAAAAACCCCTCCAACCTTGAAAAGTAAGATAAAGGAGATTTAAAAAGTTTATATAAAAAATTTCAAATAATTTAACTTAGTATAAATAAATGTTTTACCACCTTACAAGATACATCAATTATCTATTTACAAGTATACACAATATTTATATATATATATATATATATATATATATATATATATATATATATATATATATATATATATATATATATATATATATATATATATATATATATATATATATATATGTATAGCATGAGTTTTGAATGAAAAAGTATGTTATAGGATGTTTAAATGTTTATGCAGCCCTGTTCACAAACCTGGCCCTGGCTATATTTTATCGAACCCAGCCTTGGCCCTAGTCAAATTTGAACCTCGGTTGTTTACTAGTATTTATACATGTATTTTAGCCTATAATGATCATATACTAAAAATATACTAGAATAAATTAAAAACTATTCCTAAGTATAATGCCAAAAGAACCCAAACAAATTGCTATAAAAAAACAAAAAATCACCAATAAAATGCTAAAAAAATAAAAAGAGGAAAAAAACAGTTTTTTTTGCAAATCTAAATCTCATCCTTTGCTGATTTGTTGCAAACTCTAAGTCTCATTCTTTTTCTGTTACTGTTCCTAAGTGCTCCAAAAACTCTTATTTGTCTAATTTTTTTCCTCAAACATCAGTTCTTTGGAATTTGCTTCCTTCATCTTGCTTTCCTGATTCATATAATCTGCAATCTTTTAAGTCGTCTGTCAATCGTTATCTTGCTCTACAATCTTCATCTTTTCTCTTCCAGTAACTTCCAACACTAATTAGTGGTTGCTTGCAGCCTTGTTGGAAGCGAAGATGTTTAAAAAAAAAAAAAAAAAAACACTATACACATAAGTTATAAATTTGTTAAAGACACACTTCTTTGGTACTTGGTGTCAACAGGTAATTGTTGTTGCCACTTAACTAATATATATTTTTTTTTTTTGCTTAAACTTTTCATAATGTCATTGAAATTAAAAAATGGCATTATGAAAACCTGTCCCAACCATGTGTGAAAACATGAACTTAATACATATTTCTACAAAAATTGCTGAATGCTGCTGTTTTTATTGAGTTTTTAGTTTATTTTATTAATTATGAAGGAGATAGTAAAGGGATTATAAATTAGAGCTTTTTTGTTTAGTTTAACTACAATGAGTTTTTAAGTGCTTGGTCGCAGAGTGTGCCAGATGGTATGAATGTCAAATCTGATCATTTACTTGTAAGTAAAATATCAAATTATATTTTATATATATATATATATATATATATATATATATATATATATATATATATATATATATATATATAATATATATATATATATATATATATATATATATTTATTTATTTTTTATATATATATTTATTTTATATATATATATATATATATATATATATATATATATATATATATATATATATATATATATATATATATATATATATATATATATATATATATATATATAACCCTCAGAATTAGGAAAAATAAGGTCTGCAATAATTTTCCAACCTCAATCCTTTTGAGGTTGGCATCAGGTTGGCAAAAATTATTTGATACAAAGGTCTGACCATAAAACATAGAAATGAGGTCGGCAAAAAGGTCTGACCATAAAACATAGTAGTTAGGTCGGCATTGCCGAATGCTGCACCTAATTCCAAGGGTTATATATATATATATATATATATATATATATATATATATATATATATATATATATATATATATATATATATATATATATCAGGGTGTAAACTAGCCCTGTGGGGCCCCATCAAACGTGGTATTCCCAAATACTCAAAAAATTCAAACTCTCAACTTTAAGATGAAAAAATCCCATTTTCAAAATAAAGTTTTCTAAATTAAAGTTTAATAATAATTCTAAAAATTATTGAAAATTAGTTATTTTCAAAAATTAATAGAAAAAAAACATCAAAAACTCTAATTTATTAATTGCATAAAACTCGAAATAAAAACGCCAATATTGGAACAACTACATGATCAAAAATGTCTATTAGAAAAATTTGTTGTAAAATTCAATTTTCAAAATTTGCAAATCATTTTCTACAATGCATATCAACAACAACAAATATTATATACAAAAATTAGCAAGAAATAGAGTACAATCTAAAAAAATAACAAACTTTTTTGGTTTGACAAAAATTCTATTTCTTTAAAAGTTTTTGCCTTTTTGGCTGAAAAGGTAAATAACCATTAAGTCTTACTGCAAACTCTACTTCAAGTAGTACATGTGCTTCGTCAACAAAAATACTGAGAAGCCACCTACGTTAGATACTTAAGTTAATGTTTGAATGAACCATAGTCATGATAACATTTCATGACTATGAATGTAAAAATAGTTATTGCTTTTCTTTGATGCCACAATAGCATGCAAGCGCTTGCGAATAATATTTTTTTGTAATTAAACGATGTTAGTGCTTTTTAACAAATCAAAACGATGTTTTGCTGAGATTTTGTAATTGTAACTTTATGCAATGCGACTTTATGCTATGCAATTTGAATGAACTCGCAATAAATGTGAAATTTGAAATTTATAAGTTTGTGTTTACTATTTTCAAACCTTTTCTATTTTTCTATTTTTAAAACATTTCTTTTGAGCACACAATTTAATACATGATGGTGTAAAGGTTTGTCCATAAAGCACGTCAAGCTAAATTTAAATAATTTAATGCCCACCATTGAAAAGAAATTTAATTCCCACCATTGAAAAGAAATATATATTAAAAAGAGTTCCCTTAAAATGCAAGCGGCAATGATATATTAAACACATTTTAATATCAAGAGAGGACGGTGGGGAAATTGTGTCTTTTTTAACAAAATTGTGTATTTTTTAACAAATTCACAATTTCGTCTAAACCCTGTATCAAATTTATTTCTGGTTAACACCCTGTATATTGGGAGCCGGTAAAACCACCATCGCAATATTTTATTTATGAATTAATCTACATAAATGAAATATTATATAAAAATTAATTTAAAAAAACATTACTTTAAATTTATTTGTAATTTATAATATATAAAGTATTAATCCAAAAAATATTTTTTATGATAAAGTAAAATTTGAAAGTCTCATTAAATTTTACATCAAGCATTATTACATCATTTTATATTAATTGATGCATTATTTTGTAAAGTAAAAACAAAGTTGTTATTTTATAACTATTTGTTTAAAAAATATTCTGATTCAAAAAATTCAATATTTTAATTATGAATTGAGCAACATTGATTTATGTAATCTTGGATGTTTTTTACTTTGAAGAAAGATTTGTTTCATAAGATAGTTGAATTGTTGAAAAAACAAGTATTTTAGAGTGATTATTAAGCGATATAAAAACAACTTCTTTAGAATAGTTATTAAATTCCAAACCATCATCATCATCATCATCATCATCATCATCATCATCATCATCATCATCATCATCATCATCATCATCATCATCATCAGTATATGGTTCTCTGTTCATTATTGCAACAAGGTCATCGGCTCACAGGATTTTAGATTATTGCCATGCCACTTAGTATTTAAAATTTTTTTTTTTTCAGTATTACCAATTAAAAAGATCTTAACTTTTTAGATATGTTATTTTTGAAAAAAAGTATAAACTTTGCTTTTAAAAAGAAACTGTGAGGTGTTGCATTGCCGAAACTACACAGGTTGCATTACCGAACTTTCTGGTTTTCAATTTGAGAGTCACTTATAAAATTGAATTTGAGAGTCACTTATAAAATTTAAATTTGAGAGTCACTTATAAAATTGTAGCAAATAATAATTGCAAAATCGAACGGAAATTATTCAAAGGCCTGTTATAGGACTTTTCAGGGTAAAGAAACAGACAATCGATTAAAACAGGGGAAATTTTTTATTACAGAATATAAAACTATATATTGAGCTTTTATGAAAATAAATTTTAAATAAATAAATAACGCTTTTAATACAACATATGTGTTCATTTTCATTACACAAATAATACAAATTTTAATTATTTTAGAATAAAAACTTTACAACAATCTTCTCACATCTTTTTTTAAATCTAAGTAATAAATTTTTTAAGTATTTTTAAACTAGTTCTGACTTTATGAAAAAAATATACACAACAAATTGTTGTTTTAAACAACCTTCCCAGCAAACAATTTACAGCGAAATTTTAGTAGACTTTTAGGCATTTTGAGAGTTTCTCACTGTTTTTCCATTGTAAAAAGGCTCATTGGTTACATAGTGGACTACAATTAGCATCTGTCATATTAGCTCGCCAACAGCTAGCTTTAATATTACATGTTGAAGAGTTATTGGCCACTTTTAGTGAATCCCCTAAGAAACCTATGAGCAAAACTCTAACTGCTCAAAATGCTTATATAGGTAAACTGCAAATCCACTGTAAAATAATTGCTGGGTTAATAAAATTATAATTGGGTATCATTTTTACATATTTTTATTAAAAATCAGTTATTCATAGTTTTTAAAAGTTCAAAAGTGTTTCATTATTTAAGTTCATAGCCTTAACCATAGAGACTGATGTTATCCTATTTAGTAAAGTAGTGGGTTTTGATCACTGATTTATTTTTTTTATAAAAAATTGTATATACCAATTAAAAACATCATGATTATTATCATTAAGTACATATCTTATTTAAGTTAATTGGTCATAAGTTTGAGAATCATATTTTTTGCATAGATGCTTTAAATGCAAAGGAAAATTACCATTTTAATGTGGTCTTTTCAACGACACCCTCTGACACAAATTTTTGAAAACTTTACTTTGCAGTAATTTTATTGATTATAACTAAATTTTTAAAAATTCCTGATAACATTTTTTTATTGCAAAATTTATGTAAATTGTACAGAAGAGTGGACACTAGATTTTGTAACTTACAAAGGAATTAACACACCATTACATGAAAAAAGAAAGTTAGCTAAATCTTTGATCAATTCTATGCAGAACTTCTTTAGCTTAGAAATAAGAAACAATCTTAACAATTTGTATGCTATAAAAAAAGCTGTTTAGGCGGTTTTGTTTCGTTGTACAGATTTTGACGACAAAGAATGTCGACACCGTATTTGACACTGAGACTTGGTGCAAATATCATTTAGACAAAGTTCATGGTGAAAATACTTATTTAGAACAAGTAAATATTTCTATTTCAGTCTTCAACATTTTGAAACCGACTTTTACTGATTTATCTTCAGATGGTTTACTAAAATGCCTTAGAGACACTGACCAGATTATTTGGAGATGCTGCCCTAAAAAGTATTTTTGTGGGTAGAGGGGTCTTAGAGTCTGCAGTTAATTCATTTTATACAGGCTTGGTCGGGAAGCGGGAGTGATCGCTCTTGATTGCTGAAGGAAATAATATTTAGTTGCGAAAAGCTGGCCAGATTTTTTAGTCATTTTGAGAACATTTCAGAAAGCAAAAAAAAAAGTGCAAAAGATTAATTGGACCGATGAGAGACAATTACAAAAAAAAAAATAGGAAAAAAAAATATCCTTTAACACGAAAAAACTCAAAGCAAAATAAATTATGAAATATTGCTCAATTATAATTTTTTTATAAAAATAAGCGATGTTTAACTCAAACAAATATTTTCGAAACATCGCTCTTTTATAATTTTTTTATAAAATTAAGCGACGTTTTTTATATAAAGTAACATCTTATGATTTTTTTAAAATAGAAAAAAATGTTCTTTATTTATCAAAGTTCGCAAGTTTTAGTTTTATCTAAGCTAAATTATTTTATAAATGAAAAAGTTAATTTTTTTGATACCTATTTTATGTTTTGCGTAGTTTGAAAAATTTAACATATTTGAAACAATTCTTCTTAGTATGATAAACAAATGAAATAATTAAATCTTTGAATTACTATAAAAATTAAATTAACTAGATAGAAATCAACTAAAAAGGTTAAAAATACTTTAAGACGAAGAAGTAAAACTGCTTTACAATAACGCTAATGATGTTAAGTAAGTGGGCTTTTTAATTTTAATTAGTATTTAAAGTAGAAAAAAATATAAAGAGTTTTTAAGAATGACAACTTAAGCGAAAATAATTAGAGTTAGTAAATCAATATCTAGGAACTTTTGTTTATATCTAATAACTTGATATATATATTTGTTTTCTGTCGTGATTTAGGCGCGGCGCTTGTTCATCCACAAGTTACTTTGTATGCATTGTTTGTGTTTAGTAACGAGAAATTTCTTATAT